TAGTTGCTAAATGGTAGAAAGACAAGGCTTTCTGCTCCTGTAAAGATGTACAACCTTGGAAACCTTATATAGTGTCGCTATGAGTCAGAATCAACTTAGTCGCACACAAGCACCAGTCTTTTGGGTAAAGGTAACAGACGAAGAGACTTTAAAGAATTTGGAACTATTATGCATTGCTGGTGGGAATGTAAAACGGTGCAGCCACTGTGGAGCTTTGGTGGTGCCTCAAAATGTTAAACACAGATAATCATATGATACACCACTTTCCGAGATGTATGTCCCCACAATATTGAAAGCAGAGGCTCAAACAGTTCATTTCAACACTCGTAGCCAGAAGACGTGGTACATACATATGTGGTACATACATTCAATGGAATATTATTCAGCCATCAAAAGGGATGAAGTCTTGTACAATCCCAGCATGGATGGACTTCAACAGTATTATGAGTTAAACAAGTCAGACACAAAATGATAAATAGCATATGATTCCACTCATGTGAAGTATCTACAATAGATAATTTTTTTAGAGATAGAAAGGAGAATCGAAGCCACCAGGGGCTGGAGGGAGGGAGGGAGGAATGGGAAGTTACTTTGTGATGGGTACAGAATCTCTGCTTGAAAATGAGAAGATTCTGATAGTGGTGAAGGTGCAAGAAAATGGCAAATGCAATCAATGCCTCTGAAAAACCACTTAAAAGTTATTAAGATAGTACATTTTATATATGTTTCACTATTATAAAATTGTACACAAAAATATGACATATACACACATTTGAATTTTTTAAACTCTTGGGACTATTAAAAAAGACTTTATCTGCGAGCATTCCCTGAGGGAGAATGCAATAGAGAGGACAAAATACAGCCAGAGTAGGGATAAGACCAGAGGAGACGAACAACATGTAGTTATAAGAACAATGGGGCTCAGAACAGACATCAAGAGAGCATGGAGTTAGGGAATAACCATGTGGAGTCCAAGGAGCTCTGGTAGCATAGTGGTTATGAATCAGACTGCTAACCTCAGGGTCAGCAGTTCGAAACTACCAGCTGTTCCGCAGAAGAAAGATGAGGCTTTCTGCTCCCGCAAAGATTTACAGCCTCAGAAACTGTTCAGAGGTGGCAAATAATCACCACCACCACCATGTGGAGTCCTGGTATGGTGCTGTGGGTTAATGCACTAGACTGCAAAGTTGGTTTGATTCAAAAGGTCGGTGGTTCAAGCTCACCAGCCACTCCTGGGGAGTCCCGGTATGGTGCTGTGGGTTAATGCACTGGACTGCAAAGTTGGTTTGATTCAAAAGGTCAGTGGTTCAAGCTCACCAGCCACTCCTGGGAAACCCTATACAGGGTCACTGTGGGTTGGAACTGATTCCACAGTACTTAACAACAAAATTGGAGACACGCAGTGTTAGTTTTGCTTATGCCAAAGTTTCTCTAGAGATGGATCTGAGTTGAATTTCTCCAGTTAAATAAACAAAAGCACGATGAGTCTGTGTCTAACCCAAAGCATGCTGCTTCCTTTTTGACTCTCCACAAAGTCAGTGGTTCAAACCCACCAGCTGCTCTGCAGGAGGAAGAACTAACTGTCTGCTGCTGTAAAGGTTTACAGACTCAGAAACCTTGAGGAACAGTTCTGCCCTGGCTTATAGTGTCACTTTATGCATCGGAATCAATTTGATGACAGCAGGTTTTCAGTTTGTTACTGCTGTTCCACTTCCTCTGGTTCTAACCTTCCTTTACTCTCTCAGATCAGCTTACTTCACTGACCAAAGAACAAAGAACATAGTCCACAGAAGACCCCAGGCAGTCAAAGCACACACATGTGTGATTATCTTCATTGTACAGTAATGGAACCCTTTTGGCACAGTGGGTTAAGCATTGGACTGCCACCCAAAATGTCAGTGGTTTGAACCCACCAATCACTCCACACGAAACAAATGAGGAAGTTTGCTCCTGTAAAGATTTGTTGTTGTTGTGGTTAAGTGCCGTCGCGTTGACTCCGACCCATAGCAACCCTGCATAGGGTTTCCAAGGAGCAGCTGGTGAGCTTGAACCACCAACCTTGCAGTTCAAATGACTTTGCAATCTGACGCATTAGCCCACAGCACCAGGCCAGAACAGCCTTGGAAATCCTATGGAGCAGTTCTACCCTACTTTATAGGGTCGCTGTGAGTTGGAATCGACTCAGTGGCAATGGGTTTGTTTTTTTGTTTTGCTTTGTTCTTTTGGTTATTGTACAGTATCTGCTTTGCTAATTAGCTCATAGAGATGATGCCCATTAGCCATCTATCTGCTTCCAAAAATATAAAAAATCCATATGGCTCTTTAACAAGGTCACAAATGCTTGATACCACTATCATATCTATTTGGAGGAAATCCAACCTCTCTACAATGTGGAAAATGGAGCTCCAAAGAGTTGGCAAGCTTAGCTGTAAGAAAACTATTAGATGAACTCACAAGTGTCTTGAAAGGGTGATTGGTGCATGTGTCTGATCCCAAATAAAAGAACACTCTCAAGACTGTGCCTCTATGTGGCTGATACCCAGCCCAGGCATTTGATAAGCTCACTGCACTTTCTTTTTAAGTCAAGTTTTGGCTTATTAGCATAGAAATGGGTACTCCTCAAGGTGCGAATTCTCACTGCGCTACTGCTCATCACGCAAAGTGACATCTTCTTTATTGGCTTGGTGAATTACAACAAAACCAGATGGAACCACAAATTCTGAACTAACTGTTAAAAAGGCAACAAAGAGTCAATTTCCTTGGATTGAAATCCCACCTGTGCCACTTAGGAGACCTGTTGTGTAGCTCATAGTAAACCTGTAGGAACTGCCCTATAGGGTTTCTTACACTGAATTCTTTACAGGAACAGATCCCCAGGTCTTTTCTCCTACAGACCTCTGGTAAGTTCAAATTGCTGACGTCTGGGTTAGCAGCTAAGCGCTTAACCATTGGGCCACTAGAATCAACTCTGTAGTCCCCGGGAATCATTTAGACTCTCTGAACTTCTTTTTCCATTTGTAAAAAATCAGGAGTGTAATGTTGTTGGTAAGTACCCTCGAGTCGATTCTGACCCATAGAGCAGCTGGTGAGCTTGAACCACTGACTTTGCAGGTCAAACAACTTTGCAGTGTGATGCATTAGCCCACAATGCCACACCAGGACTCCAGAAAATGTGTTGTTGTTGTTAAGTACTGTGGAGTCCATTCTGACTCATAGTGACCCTGCACAGGGTTTCCAAGACTGCAAATCTTTATGGGAGCAGAAAACCTTATCTTTCTCCTACGGAACAGCTGCTGGTCATTTCAAACTGCTGACCCTGAGGTTAGCAGCCCGATTCATAAACACTAAAGATTGGGGGAATTACAAACCTGAGAAACATGCTCTGTACAATGTAAAGTGTCATAAAAGATCAGGAATATTCCCTATATAGGTATCTAAGATTCATGATCATGGAAAATTAGGAAGATGATGGGGTTTACTGATAAGAGGAAGATGGTAGGAGAGGAATCCCAGAGAGGTGAAAATCATTAGTTTTTGATACTAATCTCTAAATTAGGTCAGAACTTGGGTATATTAATCAACCAATAACCAGCATACATTTAAACTGAAAAGAAACTTTGTTCTTTGTTGTTGTTTTAGGGGGATGCACAGTAGGGAGCACGGAGTTAGTGGAACAAATTGGTTTTCCAAATTAGTAATCAAGTACATTTTAAGACAATGGCAGAGTTAGGGGTACAAGGAAGTCAGTGAACTTGGAGAACTTTGATAGTATATTATCTTGTGATTTCCCGGTTTACTTTTAATGTCATTTGCTTCACAGAAATGAGACCTGGTCATTAAGTCCCTGACTCATGTGAAAACTTGGCCGTTGAGAAGGAGAGCTATAACTTTGAACAAGTACTTTGTCAGTGGGGCGCCGATAATCAGAAGCTGTTACCATCAGAGACCTAGACACCTTCTCCAGTCCTGCTCGTCAGACCACTGCTCCTTGTAATTAGGTACCAATTAATCCGAATAGCTCAGACCAAGCCCTATTTACTGTTCAACCCATCAAACATACATGTGCAAATAAAAAACCCAATGGAAATATAATCATGGAACTATGTAAGGTGTAATTTCACTTGTGATGTATTATTCTGATGAAGTTTGCTGAGAAGTTACTGAGCAGGGAGTTTGTCTTTGGATGTTAGGATAGATTCTTTCTCAAATTTTTTTTTGTATTTCATACCTAGTGGTTGGAATCATCACATGTTGCTAGCTAAAGCTGTTTCTCTTTTAAGACTGCTATCACTTAGAAAGTGTCTGCCTTTATGGCTATATGTCTTCTCTTACTTTTATAAAAAGTTTTCATTTGCTAATTCATTGCAAATAAACATTGCTCTAAAAAATAAAAAGCCTAATTTTTACGCAGCTTTTTTTTTTTTTTTTTAATGAGCAAGTCTGTAGTTTCCAAACTTAGTTAGCATACCGTATGGGAAGGAAAGTTAAGAAAGAATATTTTGGCTCCTAAATTCAGTTGCGAAATCTTGAACTGATTACAGCTTGCTTTTCTTTTCTTTTCTTTTTTAATTGTGGTAATTGGGAGGGGGCTTCAAAATATTCATGGAGAAACCGCATTATTCTTTAATTCCATTTCTCTGTGAACTATTTTCAAGCCCCCTCATATATGGGTAGCAAATGATTTGCCATTTCAGCAATCTTTGCATGTCAGTTCAGTGGCATTAAACTTGTTCGTCACATGTTCAACTACCCATGGTTGTATGACTTTTCAGTGATTTCATAACTGAACCTGACAAAGAGTCTTGCATAGACACCCCCTATGCTCTCAGGGACCTCTCCACAGTGGAGTACCAGCATTTGTTCCTTTTGTACCATCAATGTAGTCTTTCAATACACAGGGACGGGGTAGAGAAACAGAGATGGGAAAGGAATGGCAAGCTCAGGGAGAAGTTTGGGAGCTTTTGGATTTCCCTGTTCACCACAATTTCCCAGTCACTCACCATTGCATGATTCAACCATTCTGGAAACATGTCATCTAGGGCCTTCGGGTAAATGAGTTCTCGGTCGTACAGATAAATTGCCCAGAACAATGAAAAGACGAACTGGAAGACAAAACACATACAGACCATCATTAAACTTGTTTTTAATGAGAAGCTTGCTGAGATTACCAAGGATACATGGCAAAGTAAAAATAGACACTGTTGTTACTGTTGTTCTGTACTGTCGAGTCCGTTTCAACTCATAGGGAATTCTGTCTAGGGTTTGCAAGGGAGCGGTTGGTGGATCTGAACTGCTGACCTTGCAGTTCAAACTGACCTTGCAGTTCACCGCATGATCCCACAGCAAAAAGTTCTTTGAAAAATCACATTATCTTTTAATTCTATAGTTCCACAAACTTTTTGAAGCCTCTTTGCCCTAGTTTTAAAGACATCTGCTATGTACATTTGAGGTTCCGGTGTGGTACACTGGACTGTTAAGCAACAGGTAGGCAGCTCCAACCTACCAGTTGCTCCTTGGAAACCCTATCCAAGGTCACTATGAGTTGGAAACCAGCTCAGCAGCACACAACAGCAATCTTACTGTGGCCCTGTAGGATAAGCACTGGAGTGCTAACTGAAGGGTCGGCTGTTCAAACTCACCAGACACTCCTTAGAAGCCCTTACAGGGTCTTTATGAGTTGAAACCTACCCAAAGGCAGACAACAACAACAATCGTATGTGTGGTTCTGTACAGTTAGTAAGTACTGCTAACCACAAGATACTGGAAAAACCTATACAAGGCCGCTGTAAGTAAGAACTGACTCAATGGCACTCAATAACAACAACATATATACATTTAACTACTGCCATCAGGTTGGTTTGAACCACAAGGTTGCAGTTCAAACTCACCAGCCATTCCTTGGAAACCCTATAAAGGGTCTCTTGAGTCAGAACTGATTCAATGGCACATAACAACAGCAAAAACTGCCATCAAGTTGCTTCTGACTCCCTAGTGACCCTACAGGACAGAACAGAACTGCTGCGCACGTTTTCTAACACTGCAATTTTTTTTCAGGGCAGACTGCATCCTCTTTATCCCATGGAGCAGGTGGTGGGTTTGAACCACCAACCTTTTGGTTAACAGCACAACACTTAACCCACTGCACCAACAGAAGTCCTTATATATGCATTGTTGTTATTGTTGTTAAGTGCTGTTTAGTCAGTTCGGACTCATAGCAACCTTGTATAAGGCTTCTGAGGAACAGCTGGTGAGTTTCAACTGTTGAACTTGCTGTCAGTATAGTCCAGTGTTTATCCTATTGTGTCACACCTGAAATTCACATATATATACGTGGTGGGTGGCCATGGTTGTGTGCCACTGAGTCAATTCTGACTCGTAAAAACGTTGTATAGGGTTTCCCAGGCTGTAAATATTTATGGGAGCAGAAAGTGCCTGTTGGATTGAAACCGCTGATCTTGCACCCCCAGAGCTCCTTATATACATGTACATTGGTGGACTGTACAATTATAAATAAAATGCTTGTTGTAGAATTGTTATATTCACTCTCTCTAGGGATTCCTTAAGGAGCTCTGGTAGTGGAATGGTTACAAATTGGGCTGCTAATCTCATGGTCAGCAGTTTGAAACTACCAGCTGTTCCATGGGAGAAAGATAAGGCTTTCTGCTCCAGTAAAGATTTACAGCCTCAGAAACCCTATGAGTCGGAACCAACTCCACAGCACATAACAACACCACCAACACAGGGATTCCTTAGCCAAAAATATTGGCATCAGTTACAAGATAACCTAAAACAGCTAGAACCTGTGCAAGGTGTTGACCTGGCAGAGAAGAAGATCTCAAACACGTTCTACTAAAATGAGTGATTGTTGTTGTTGTTGAGAGCAGTAACGTCAACTCTGACTCATAGTGACCCCTGTATAGGGTTTCCAAGGAGTGGCTGGTGAGTTCGAACTGCTAGGCTTGTGGTTCAATAGGACCTTGCAGTCCAGTGCTTTAGCCCACAGCGGCACAAACCAGACTCCAAGCAAGGGATAGGAGAGTGGTAAGACTGCACCCCACCAAAGGCAGAAGAGTGAGGAGACCCTTAAAAATAAGGCAGTCCCGTTAAAGTCTGCCTCACGGTTTTCACCACCCATATCTGACATCATGCCAGGTAGAGAGGCTAGAGAAAAACAAGATTATAGACTGTTAGGACATTCCATTTTAAGCATTGAGTCCTAAGGTTTCACCAAGAAGCTATTAGTGGTCACACTGTGGGACCTAAGTTTTACACGTGCCTTGCCTACCCTCTCTCTATATAGGAATGGCCAAGGGAAGTGAGAAGTCTAGGAGAGGGGGTGAGAAGTGACAAGCTCCCAGGATAATTCCCAAGCCAGTTAAGTGAAGAGTTGGATCTCTCTCCATGGCTCAGAACTTTGGATTGAGCCTCATCATCTCATATGCCTTGGCTGTCTTAGCAAAGCCATCTGTCCCTCCCTGTTACAAAGTCAGTACAGAGATGGAGGAAAACGAACTGCTAATTTTCTGATCTTCCTATCTTCTTAAATTTCATAGGCTCCATTTCTAAGCTTCAAAAAAAAAAAAAAAAATGCACAGACTCCATTGTTAATAAAGACTTGGCCTGTAGAAGATTTATGGGTGGTGGAGGGGTCCTGCAAAATGGAACTGAACGATCAGGACTCACTCCGTCATCTGTGACCTCGTTAGTGTTGGGAGACTTTCATTCCACATTTAAGTTTGAAATCTCAGTGCTGTCGGAAGCAGGACAATGACAGGTGGAAGAAAACAGTCATGTCTAATTATAGAGCCCGCTAGGCAGCCGGTGTGCCTGAGCTCAGTTTGTTTCCATTCTGGGTAATGATTGGAAACATGAACAATGTCATAGAAATGTGGACAGTAGCAGCAAACACGCTCACAGCCATTGCCTAGATCTGGCTTCTTCTTGATGTCTATTCATTCAACAAAATGAATGAGGCCCCCACTGCCTGCCCCACATCACATAGTATAGTCTAGCTCTCGATGGTCTTTTCCATGTGTCAACATTGAAGATTCTTATTATGTCTTTTCTCAAAATATTTTTAATTTTATTGGATGGTCTTCTGATTGCAGAAGTAGCATCATCTGCTTATTGAAACACAATGTGTAAAAGGAAAAATTAATCATCTCCCTTCCTTGCAGAACCCTCCATTTCCATCTTTTGATGGAACCACGGTTTTCTCAATTGACTCTTGGTAAGTCCTGGACACTACTCCCTTAGACAGGAGAAAAGATCTTGTAACAAGTTGTGGCAAAGATACAAAAGCAAACAACAGAGTTGGCCAATAATATGTCTATATCCTCTGGCCACTGGGCAATAGCATGCAGTTCTAAGACACGGCATTCATTTAAATTCAGCTACTCTAGTTTGCAAAGAGATCTGGTAGCGTAGTGGTTATGAATCGGGCTGCGAACCTTAAAGTTAGTAGTTCAAAACTACCAGCCGCTCCGTGGGAGAAAGATGAGGCTTTCTGCTCCTGTAAAGATTTACAGCCTTGGAAACCCTGTACAGGGTCACTATGGGTTGGAACCGATTCGACGGCACATAACAACAACCCTGATTTGTAATAATCAACTCCTGGTGTGGCGCTGTAGGATCATCAGTGGACTGTAAACCACAAGGTCAGCAGTTCAAACTCACCAGCTGCTCCTCAGAAACCCTACACAGGGGTCGCTGTGAGTGGGAACTGACTCGATGGCACTTAACAACAAACAGCCCAGCTACCCTAGAGCAGCGAGATCCATCCATACATGTGTATTATATTACATACATATTGCTGTTAACTTACTGTGGATAAAGGAAAAGCCAGCGAGGTGAAAAGCAGGTCTCTGAAGGCAGTTATGAACTTAATGACTTTTTTTCTTGTAATTCTTTTCAGCACATCATCAAGGCAGGCGACCCCGTAGAAAATGGCCTGTAAGAACTAAATCCATTACAACAAATGAGGACATTTTCATTTGCTTTAATTAACATGCTCTTCACTGACGTAAAACTCCATCCCTCTGGGAGCAATGTGGATTTGGGAAGGAGGAGGGTGTTTGGCTGTTTTTGGTTTAAGGGCTGAGCTTTCCACTCAGTGGGCTCTGACCTTGCTCACTAAAACTGATTGAGTAAAGTCATTTCAGGGATGATAATGTGTACAGTATTTAGTGTAATGGAGTTAAATTAAAATGGAAACAAATAAAGAGTCAGCTTAAAAGACGGATATAATGAGAGAGATACCTTGGCAGCGCAGAGGTGGGAAGAACGACATTAGTGGCACGATAGAAAAAGAGGCAAATTCAATGGTGGGCACACTCTGGTCTCTCCCAAAGAAGAGAATTGAAGAAATTCACAGAAGGCAGAATCGGGATTAGGGGAGCTGTGAAGGAGCTCTGTGTTCTCCTGAGGGAGGTACACAAAATGGCGTCTCCCTTATCTGAAAGAGGAGATGGTGTTCTTCCCTCATTAAAACGGGTGCCCGTCAAGATTTACAGAGAAAATCTTGTGATTTAAAACCAGAAGGAGAGAGCAAGCAACGAGCTCTGGCAAGTCAATTAGTATCACGAGACCTCCGAGGCCAGGAAAAGAGAAGGAGAGCCTTTTGAAGGAAATCATCTAGCACCTCCATCACCAGTCTGTTGGTTGCGGTACTGGGGATTCTGGGAGCTCTGTTACTGCTGTGTTAAACTACCAGCAGCATCACCCACAATAGACAGGTTCCAGTGGAGCTTCCAGACTAAGACAGACTAGAAAGATCAAGTTTTGAAAATTAACCAGTGAAAACCTTATTGATCACAAAAAAATATTGTTCGTCTTTTAGGCTGGAAGGCATTCAAAATGCACAGTGGCCACATGCACACCAGCTCTCATGAAGATGGTGGACATTTTGTTCTGCTGCACGTGGTGTCACCATGAATTGGAGCCAACTCCATGGTAACTAACAACAAGACATCTCAGGCCCACTGCCCTGCCTTACTGCTTTGCACAAACCTATGGCTTCTGATGGAAGTTCTAGTGGGCCATCAGAGCAGTTTGGGTTGGTATGAATTATGTTTGCATTGGAATCTATCCTAGTCCTTGAAAGCTTTGGATTGACAGAGAAAAGGCAGTGTGGACTCTGCCTGTAGCATATGATTCAGGAAAGTTCAACTGGAACCTGGAGAGCTGGGAAAACATCATCGTCCGTGGTTGGAAATCATCACTGAAGTCTGGAATTCAGAAAAACACTAGCTAACTTGGCTTCCGGCCACTTCCTGTCCTGAGGGGGCTGGAGAGAGCAGACAGGGGTAGATTTGGTCAGTGCAACTCCTAGTGAGATCCTGGGACCAGAGCAGCATCAGTACCACTTGGGATTTGGTTAGAAATACAGACTCTCCACCCCTTCTCAGACAGCGGACTCAGAATCGCTGGGGATGCACCTGACTTGTAATACAATCTCCAGCTGATCTGTGTGGTAAAGTTTGAGAATCACTGGATTGACCTGAAATTATCCCATCCAACTGTGTTCACTACTCAAAAATACAATGATGTGGCTAAATACTGTTGAGTCAGTTCTAAATCATAGTGACCCTGTACAGGGTTTCTAAGAAGGGACTGGTGGATTTGAACCCTAATCTTGAGGTTAGCAGTCCAGTGGTTAGCACCACACCAAGACTTCCAAAATTATAAAGTTGTTGTTGCTGTTAAGTGCCGTCGAGTCAGTTCTGACTCATAGCAACCCTACATAGGGTTTCCAAGGAGCAACCGGTAGGTTTGAACTGCTGACTTTGTTATTAGCAATCTTTTAGTTACCCTACGGTGCCACACTAGGACCCCAAAACTATTATAGCTGACTTTGATTGACCATTTATGGGCCAGTAAGTTCTATTACAATCCCCCACCTATTTTACAGATCAGAAGGGGAAACTGAGGCACAGTGAGATTAAGAACCTTGTCTATAACCTCACGGTCAAAAGCCAAGATTGAAACCTAGAGTCTGGTTCTTGAGCTAACTAAACTCACTCATTCTCTCTCTCGCTCTCTCTCATCAGCGTTCTAAGAGCAGCTTAGAGAAAGCACTGTGGAATGTCAGAGGAGAGATAATTATCTCCAGGTGAGAATTAAAACTACTTAAAAAATAAAAATGACAGTTTTCCCAGAGATTCACTGAAAGGTTGGCGATTCATGTCTACCCAGAGATACCACAGAAGAAATTCCCAGTGACCCATGTCTGAAAAAAATCAGTCTTTGAGAACCCTAGGGAGCCCGGCGCTACTCTGACACACGTAAGCTGCCATGGGTCAGAGTTCACTTGATGGCAACTGTTTGGTTATTGGACAGGAGGGAAAAGGGAGCAGTCAAAGTAGCAACCGATGATCAGCTGGTGGAAAACCAGGTGTGCACAAGAACCCCAGACTCTTGAAGAGAATAAGTGGCTTTATGCCAACAGGGAAGATGTTGGACAACAGCTTTAAATGCCATGAGGAAGTTGCCACACCAACACATTTCATTACTGTTGGTAGTTTTGGCAGTCTGCCTTTAAGAGCTAGGTGGAATTCCACCTGGAGTCATCACAAGTGAATGTTGGATAGAAGTTTGTCACCTCACACCTAGATTCTATGCCAGCAGCTCAGGTCACAGCAGGCTCTGCCTTGGTTAGGAGAGGTGGCAAGGGGCAGGCCCAGTGAGGAGCCTGCACCCTTTGTCCATCAATAGTGAATGAGTCATCATTCTCTGAGTAGCTGCTAGCTGCTCCCTCTTTGGGGTGAGGCTGCTCCACCCAGCATGTGAAGTCCACATGATCACTTTCCCCAGGCCAGAGCTCGCTCAAGTCATGATGAGTCAAACTTGCCCAACTTTCTCTTGCCTTTCCCAGCCCAGAATGTGGAAATTGGGTTGGGGAAAAGAACACATTACTCGGAGCCTCCATGGTTTCTCCTTTATCAAGAAAAACTTGCGCCACACTGCAAACTTTCTAAGTACATCTCCCCTTCCATCCCCAACTCCCCCAGTTACTCTTCTGGTATATGCCAAGTTGTAAAGAGGCCAGCTGTGTGTGCAGAGCATCTTGGTCTCGGATGATCTTAAGCAATGTTGGCACATCATCATCTACACCAACAAAAAAATATTTATTGAGCCCCCACTTAGGAGTTTCCAAGCTCAGGAGGGAAGCATGAAGATGTCACCATAGAAACTAGCAATAGTTCGGGCATGGAGGAGTTAGTTCCTGGTGACAGCTACTCCAGCAGAGCCCAGATGGGCAAAGGTGAGTGAGCAGCCAAGAGCTCAATCAGGAAGGTTTTCTGGAGGGCAGTAAAGACAAGTTTGGATCTGCTCACTGAACTGGCCAGCAGTCTGCTCATTCCCCAAAGACAAAACAATCATATAAACAATGCACAGAAAGAACAATCTCGAGGGAAAAGAAGGTAGTATTAAAATAAGAGAGCAACAACTGGTCTTTTAAGAATCTTAGAATAAAATGACTCTCATTTACATATTTCTCAATGAGGCAACGGCAATTCACAAGCAAAATCCTCACCTTCCATGCAGGAAGCCTGGGCTGTACCTTTGTCTGTAAGTGGAGGCCTGTGTGTGCTGTGTTGTTGAACAGGATTTAGTGAGCTTCCCGACTAAGAGAGACTAGGAAGAAAGGCCTGGAGATCTACTACCAAAAATCAGCCAATGACAAACCCCCTTCCAAGACTGAAACTCGAAGGGAATATACAAGCAGACATGTAATCTTGCTGGTGACCACATTGGTCTACCGATAAGGGGAAGTGGGGGTGGGGGGTGGAGGGAAGCAACAATGAAGATACGGGCTGAGTCTGACCACATTCAACCTGGAGTGAGACCTGGTTGGCCAGCAGTATGGCGAGACCTGGGGATTCCTGAGCCCATGGACAGGGACATAGCCATAGAGGACTAGAGTGGAGAGTGAAGCATCCAGCTGATAGGAAGTGAGAGAAGATGCACAACAACATCCACACTTTCAGGTAGCACCCACTTGACCTGGTTTCAATGGCTAGATGACCAGAACTCTACTAGAGGAAGAAAGAAGAGGAAAAAAAGTGTAATCCACTATAATCTGATGATCTTGACTTATATTTATGGATGTAGTAGCTTAACAAAGGAAAATAAATCTTCACAGCAAGGATCATTCCCACCCCCTCTGTACAAAGGGTTGACAGGGATGAGCAACTTAGACATCGGCTACCTAAAATGGAGGGGCTACAAAGGCACGAAGCGACTGGCTCACACATTTTCAAGAGGGAGTTTAGTTTCAGAGGGTGTGGGGGAAGGTAGAATCTTCACTGAGTGCTTTCCAACCCGTCTGGACGGGGCTGGTGAAAGGAGAAGGGGATAAGACTCTTGTGGTTCAATAGTGAATAATTGTTATCAGGACTGATTACAGTAGTTGCAAATGTAAAGGTAGACATTTTGTAACAAAAGGAGGGGTATGGTTGATTTTGCAGTCCAGGAGTGGAGAACCCTGGGACCATCAAGGGAGAAGAGCAGAGTGCGGGACCTTACCCAGAGAAGTAGATACACCAGAGATGGAGAAAGAGACGATGGCGTGTAGAGATGGAGCAGCTGGGGACTCTGGACCCAGGAGGGAGAGGGGCTATGTGCTGGCAGCTGGAGGGGGACAAGCTTGCG